GAGTCTGACCCTGCAAACAAATATTTTTGGGGCGAGTTGCCAAGGGAAAGAAGTCAATGAACGCTAAAGTTGCAAACAGTTACGCAGAAATTCCAAACAACCACAAGTCTAAAGAACAGCAGTCAAGCAGCAAAAATGCTAGGTAAAAAAAGGCCCAGGTGGCATCCCCGACCGCAACCCCCGCAACCCGGCTGCGCCTCATCTTGTGCCTCTCTGCCGCGGAGTTGGGCCTCACGTCCGCCTTATGGGCCGCCTCTTGCACGGCCTCAAGGGACGCGGCAAAACAGATGGGTGATAAAAGAAAAGGGCCGTTGTGCTGTCAGTTTTCAAAGGGGCACATAGATTTCGCAGGTGGCTTGTGGCTTCTGGGCCTTTTTGGAATAATGTCCAACTGGCCTCTAAGTGGAACACTTGAAGGAAAGAGATATGGTAGGTTTGGCATGTCGTTTCTGCTATCGCGTTGGTCGCAGTTTCAAACACACTTTTGTCAGGGACAGGCCCTGCATCAGCAATTGGGCTTTTCTAAAATTTGGCAGGGTTCACTCCAACATTGTGTTTCGGATTCCTTCTGGTTCCCGGTTCAAAGCCAACGACCAAAAAGTTGACCATGCCAGTGCTTGGGAGCCTCACAATTTGGGGGCATTCTTCTAGAACTGAAAGGGCCCCTCTTGGCTGTTCACTAAAAACAAATAGGGAACCTGCGCAGAACCCAAACATTGCACTTTCAGGGGACAAGGAACCCTTTCATATAATCTCTGATGATTCCCACAGAAACACATGAAATATCAGGACTTTTCTTGGGACAGTCCCCATGTTTCTTAAGTAAGGACAACGGGTCAACACCGGCAAATCCATTTCTCCAAGTACCAAAGCGTGAAGAAAAGACACCGCCGACAAGCCAGCCCCGCCTCTTTCACCCAGGCGATGCGGCGGTGCACGGACTCGCCCTCGGCGTCTCAGGGTTCCGCTGGATGTTTTCCATACGACAACCAAACGGACCCCCCTGGCAGCCCCGGAAGTCCCTCGTAACCTCTGACTTTTCGCTTCCGCACGTGCATTTCTCCATCTTTGAGTCAAAGGGAGAGGTAAACATCACCAAAAGGAAGCTCAATCAAAATTAGTTTGCCAAAGGGGTGACGTAGGGGAAAGCAAAACAAATGATGTTAAAATCAGCAAAGCGATAAAACAGAAACAACACCCGGCTTTTGGCATAGGTCGGAGGTCACCCCAGGTCAGGTGGATGGCTGGACTCTGCCGGGAGTCATGGCTGCTTTTCGTAAAGGCTCTTGGAGACAGGCCCTTGACCGGCTCACTAACAGTGACTGCTGAGCAGGCTGCAAATGATCACTCAAACGGTTTCCCCACCTTTGGTCATAGATACCAAACAATCCGCCGCTAGAATGGTCCGAAGCAATCACGACATAAATGCTAAACATTGATTGCAAGGTGGCCTGCAGCCTGATCCCTCCGGTTGTGACAGTGAACTTCTTCAAAGGGGAGTCTCCTTCAACGAGCCTGGGGCAAAAAACTACCCAACAAAAAGATTTGTGGGTTGCCTCCCCAATCGTCCTCCCCAACAGGGTTCGTACCACGAGTTCATGTGGGAGCTTGCCTCATGCGAGTTTGTCTCAACACAGGGCGTCCAAATGGTCGCCGCAACTTCCTGCAAACTCACGGCACCTTCCAGGCCCCGGCCGCTGGGAAGCGGAGCTCGTGGGGGCTGTGGGCCTTGGAGCCTCGGAAACATCGGGCGCTGGGGGATTCGAGCTTGCCTAAAGGCTTGAGCTCTTGCTCAAACAAATGGACACATGGCCACAAAGCTCCGCTTGTCAGAGGTTCGCAATTGAACACAGGAAGCCATGTTGACACAGTTGGAACGCCACTGTTTTCAAGCTTGCCTTCTGACGAGTCTCCGTCTAAGAACAGTGGGATTTAGGACCACCGACCATTGGACCATGTTGTTGGGAGTGTTTCCCATTAAAACTGGGGGCAAGGTGCACCATGGAAATGTCAATCATGTCGGGTAGCGATGACCCAATGGGTGTATATGTAGTCAATACATAAAAGGTGTTCAAACATGTAACCATCTCAAAACAGCGGCTTGTTGTTTTCGCCGATGGCGTCTGCTCGACCTGCCCCAGCTCGAAATGGCGACTTTCTCTATTGACCCCCGCCGTGGTTACAGGGGGACCGTTTGTGAACTTTACAGCAGCCGGAAGAAATAGAAGTACTTTAAAACCACCAGGCATCACAAGAGGACATAGAGGACAATGTGTGTAAACCTGGGTACGTGTTTTTGGGGAAACCGAAGGAAAAAGAGAAAGCCTTGGAGAGACACGTCTGCCCCGCACCGTGAGCCACTCCTCTCTGGCCCGGGCCACCGGGCAACTGCACGCCTCCTTTGCCCACTTGCCCAAGACGGGCGTCTTGGAGCCACCCTCGGTGCGAGCCAACTGGCGGTGCCAGCGGTGAAAACAACTCGGAACCAAAAGTCATGTTGAAAAGGCAAATCGACCTTCTTTGGGTTTGCCGCTCAAAGCGGACTTCTTTGAACTTACTCGCAACCGAAGGGCCAGGTTGACTGACTTGATCTCCTTTTCGTAGCTGCCAGTATGCCATGGCGCCGTGGTTGCAACCACGTGAAGCCAGCACAAACCTTTCCAACAAGCAATGGTTTGTCACGTAGGAGAAGCCAAAAAAAAAGGTCGGTTGCCATTGATTTCTGGGTAAAACATATTTACCGAGGATACCATACCTTCAAACCAAGACACGCAAGCCCACGGCGTCAACATTTCATGGAAGGTGTTACAGCTTGCCCCGCCCTGAGCTTCAAGACAGGGCGCTGCCAAGTTTCACAAGATGTCTAGAACCTGACATAAAGATAACACCCAGTCAGAGGACCGAATGCACAAATTTCCATGTTTGCGGACACGTTTCCTGCATTGTGCGGCATCTGTTGTAGATGTTCATCACCATTTCGCAGGGGAAACACAATGTGCTTGCATGGACCCAGAGGAATGAACGTGGAACGTGGAGTCAATCAACAGCCTAACACACAGTCTCAACGCACACCATCCCGGCCAAATTCATGCTGTCTTGCCTTGATGGTTTCAGTGTGCTGCTGTCATTTACGCGGTGTGCCGAAGCAAAGGGACTGTAGGCGGTATGGGAACGCACGAAGGCACCAGACATGCCTGAGCACCTGCTTCCCTGCGACCTGTCTGACCCAATCCCTGCGTCTTTCAGCCTGACCCCAAACTCGACGTCCGGGCCAGACTTAGACCCCGGCAAACAGCTGACTTGTTGCTGGTTGAGGGAAAAGGAGGAACATCAAAAAGACAAATCCGCAAAAACAAGGGAAGCCAAGTCCGGCGATGCAACTAGATGTTCACTGGCCGGTGCTCAAAAACCTACCATTTGCTAATTCAACTTGCTGGTTGGTGATAGGTGAACATGGCATTGGTACATTTCCTGCTCGGTTGCTCACAAATTCATTGAGCCGAAGGGTGAATACCTTCTTTCAGTTTGGTTTCAAGGGAAGCCAGCTGGAAATTAAACATTTGTGGGTCCCTCCCTATTTGACACGCACACCCGCACCCAAACAGGGTGGACACCAACACGCATCCCACCCCAAAAGGTTCCTGGAGATCGAAGAACGCATCGAAGGCTTGGCGTGGCCGGATTTGGTCTCAGCCAATCTCGGCCAAGTCATGATCCCACCCCTAGCCTCTAAAAATGTGCCACCCCTTGTGACAGACCAACCCCCGGGCCGACTCCGTGCCGCACCTCCGAGGACCAGCAGCGGCGCTTCTCCAGGGCTCGTTGGCACATGTGCCGCCGGAAAGGCCTCGCAAGAGGCTGGATCCATGTCACAAGGATTTTTGGGAATGAGTTGTTTGAAGCCATCTAAGCAGAGGTTTGGGACCCTCCCATCCTTTTGCCGGGTTGCCCAAAGCGGTTCTCTAAATTAACCTTGTGGGTAGGACACCTTTTTGAATTTTGAACCATCCATTCAGCGAGGAATATCTTATTCACTCCCCCCATCCCTATCTTTCAAACGGCCCCAGAGGGGGCAACAAGGTTCTCATTGGCGTGTTCCTCTTAAAAGGGACGTTTCTGCGGTTTCCATGTTAGACGGGAGGGTAAGAAGTTTGGATTTGCCAAAAGGAGTAGGAATGAACCTAGGGCTATCCCTTTAAAGGAAACCACCAGGGATGGTTTATAGGGGCATGCCTGCTGCGAACCAGGAAGTTTTCATGGAGCGGAGCCCCAAAACTGTTGGAAACTCCTGTTTTGGGTCTTGATTGGGGGGACCGACAGGGTCTGGTGGTGAGTGGCTAAGGCGCGGGTTGTTCAACATGCGGAAATCTTATATAACCTCAACATGTTGGTACGGCGAACGCGGGTGTTTCAGGTTTTGGGGAGAGCGTTCGAAGCGGGGGGGGGGGGGGAGATGGTGGTCATGATCACTGATCAGGCAAATCTTGATGATCACTTCATGATCACGGAACTGAACGTCTTCTTCCATGCTTATGACCACATCATGATGACTGAGCGAACGCGCTGTATTGGCGGTTTTGACTACTTCATGGTCGCATCTCTGATCGATTCATAATCTGTCAGCAGACATGTGTTTCTTCTTTCGAAGATTTCACAAGCGCAGTTTGTTAGATGATCAAAAGGTTGATGATCTTGTGGCTTCCGCAAGTTGGGGCAAAGATCAGTGGTTGCGGTGCATGTCCAGTCCCTCCAAAAGTTGACACACAATCAAGGCGAAGAAAACCACAATGAAAATGACCGCAACCGCCAATCTTGGGCCCGCTGCATGGCAACATGTTCCTCAGTGTTTGCCTGAAAACGGGGATACCTTATCCTCAACCATTGTCTTTTGGGTGACCATGCCCGAAACAAGCCTCAATTTATGTTATCCTTGTGCTTTGCGTTATTTTACGTTTGGGGCTTAGGTTTCTTATTAGGGTTTTTGGGGTTTGGGTCTTCTATCAGGTTTGGGATTTATACTGGGTCCTCCTTTAGAGAGGGTTGAATTTGAATAACTACCCTTTTTCCCGTAGTCTATTTTAGTAGGGGAACCCTCCCCAAAAAAAGGGTAAAAGGGCACTACTGGGAGACCTAGTATATGGACTCTGACAGACTACGTCGCTTGCCTCTCCATGAGCCGCACCGCACCGAAGGCCGCCAGCGACTGGCCCAGCCGCTCCAGGCCGTTCCGCTGCCGCTCCTCGGAACGAAACGAAGCTCCGGCCTGCGGCTAGCATGGAAAACTAGAGAAAGCTTGCAGCAAGGGAAAGCGCTGTGTATATATATATATATATGACAGTTGTCTGAAATTCCTTGTTCCGGAAACCGCCATCTTCGCGAGAAAAAAAACTTTCGCGGACCCCATCGCGGAACTTTCGCGGGGCTGTTTTAAGAACATTCATCACAAAAGTAGTACACGAAGTACACTTTGGCAGCCCCAGCTCGAAAGTCGCAGCTCTTCAGTGCGAAAGCAGTACTAAAATTTTAAAAGTAAACTTCAGCAGCCCGGCTTGAATACGAAAGTAGTACACGAACTAAACTTCCTCAGCCTCGAAAGTCAAAACTTTTCAATACGAAAGTAGTACACAAAGTAAACTTCCGCAGCCCCAGCTCGAAAGTCGCAAGCTTTCAGTTCCCAAGTAGCACGCGAAGCGCGCTTCCGCAGCTCCAGCTCATAAGCTGTGAGCTACGCACGAGAGGACCGTTGGCCTCATGTCCGGAAACTGGCGGGGAGGTCCGTTGACTTTCGCGAAACCGTTGACTTTCGCGAAACTTTCGCGGATCTTACGCCAAACATTCGCGAAAATCCGGCTGGAAGTTGCGCTCAACTTGCCCCGATAGCTTCAAAACCCCCAGAAGCTGGTTTCTGCTGGCTGGGGCGGCGACCCTCAGGCTGCGCATTCTCCGACCAACTTTAGTCTGCGGGCATTCTGCGCGCACTGCCGGTAAATACACATGGTTCATCACTCCAGCTTCCTGTTGGCAAGCCACACAAAACTTTCGCGGAACAAAAATAACTTTCGCGACCCCCTTCGCGGAACTTTCGCGAAGGTCAACGCTAAGACCAAAAGGTCTTCCCCTTCATAGCTCAATACAAGGACCTTTCGGACGATTTCATATACACATATAAGTTATGTATATATGTAATATGTGTATGTGTTCTATGTGCTTTGAGGGTTAAAACCGAGTCTCCAACAGATCCTGTTGTCAACTGCTTGGTTGCCTACCCATTTAGTGGTCATGGCCCCATGTTTGAAGGGTGTTGGACACTCCAGGAACATGGCTTGCGTCAGCTGTGAGCCTTTCAAAGCCAGATCGCGGCGAACATGCGTTCTGAACACATCCCTCCACATTGTTATTGTTTTCTTTTTGTTTCCCTTTTTTTCTTTCGGGTGACAAGGAAAACACGTTAATCTGCCATACAAAAGGGTCATTCACCCATCCGTCCTTGTCTACTTTATGGGCATTGCCTGGGCCATTCACACAAGGTCGGCCCAGCAGTGTTGCTCCAAATTGCTGGGGGCAAAGCAAGTTGGCAAGCCTTGGCCCCTGGAGATTTGGTCCACCTTTCGAAGGCCTCGGTAGACATATGGACCCTGACTCCCGCAGCCTTTGGAACCGAAAAGGATGCACAACCACATCCCCGAGTGGCAAACCTATCGGTAAACGGTCGGTGGGTTGCCCAAGGGAACCGCAGTCCTTCAGCGGATGTCAATGAACAAGACAACCATCCTTTAAAGGGAACCCGTCCAAAAAATGCAAGAACAGACAAAGACAAATACTGGCAGTCTGGGATGGCAATAAAGCAAAAATCCATTCCCTTTTGGCTGCCTCTAGACAAACCACCTGGAGGATCGAATGCCGAGGAATTCCTAGGCGTTCTGGCTCCCGGCAATTTGAGGGCGTTTGCGTCCAAAACAGGGTCAAGCAAACGGAATTCATAAATTCACGGGCTACACTTCTTGGCGTACTGACGAATGAAAGACCATCATTGATCGCGCCGCCCATGCCTTAAAGTCGATTGAGCTCCACAGAGTCAGCCATGTAATCAACCTCAGCAAGCTCGCCCGTGGGGTCTCCTTCTCCTGCATGGCCCTGGAGATGTTCTCTGCGAGCTCGCGGACCTTGCGCAAGGCAGGCCCAAGGGGCCGAAGGTCAACTGTTCCTTCTCAGAAGGGGGCGCCCTGAGCGGTGGATGTTTGCACCCGCCCGCTTTTGCCTCTTTTCCACCTTTCGCACGGTGAAACAAAAAGCATTGAGAATTCGAATAAAAGCCCAAAAGCAAAAACACATTTGGTTGGGGGCATTCTTGGCTCCTAGCCTACTTACAAGTCTGAAGCCGCAAAAAAACGATGAGAAACCGAAGAAAACCAAAAGGCAAAGCACAATCTGCCAGGGGACATTCTTGGCACCTAGCCCAGTTCCAAGTTTCAAATCGAAAAACCGTTGAGAAAATGAATGAACAAAAATCATCTGGTGCCAGCGGCGTAGATGCAAGGTATGTTCATGAGGCACACACTATGCCTCCCCAAAGCATAGTATTGATCAGGTATGTGTCCAACAGCTCGTCCTGAGATCCTGCTGGCTTTGCCAAAGTCCTCATCCATGCTGTAAGATTCTGCTATTGGGGAGATCAGGCGTGTGCCGGTACAAAGTAAAGGCCAAGCCCACCAAGCCGTTTGGCTTCATCTGGAGGAACCCAGAAGTCTGCCTTGTATATTGAGGGGATATTAGGGGAATACTGAGAGAATACTAGCGGTATACCAAGAAACAACTAAAAGAATGCTAGGGAAAAAATGCTGGAATACTACAGAGAGTACAAAGGAAATACTGAGGGAATACGTTGGCAGCACTAAGGGTGAACACTCGGAAGATACTAGGGGAACACTGAAGGAATACTTGGGGAATATTGAGGAAGTAATCAAAGCATTGAGGACATACTAGAGAGTATACTAAGAGAATACTGAGGCAGACTAGGGGAATACCGAGGGGATAATAAGGGGCTAGCGGAATACTCAGGGTGAATACTCGGAGAATGCTAGGGAATCACCAAAGAAGTTCCTGGGGAACCAAGAAAACGGAGAATGCTAGTGTCTCTGTTTGTGGGGGCCTACGGAGAGCGTGGTAAAGGCAATCAACAAGTGCATGAGCGGCAAGAACTTCCTACTTGGTGATTCCCAGGGCTTCTCTTAGTATTCCTCCAGTATTCCGCTAGTATTCAACCCTAGTTTATTAATAAGGGGTGTTCCCCTGCACAAGTGATGATTCCCCACTAAACCAAGTGGCACCCTCCTATTATTTAGCCGGGGTTGATTTTCTGTGGGGATTTACTCTGCGATACGTGATATTTGCTGTCAGTGGATGCGTTGTTGTGTGCTAAAGTCACCTGTTGGCACGCTTGCAAAATCGATGATATCAACGGGGGGAAAACAAAAAAACGCTTAGGTCTCCTCCTTTTTGCGAACTGGGCCCGTTCAACTGACATCGTACATTTCAGGATTTTGTTCGGGAAACTGAAACAACCCCCAAAAGCAACCCGGCGAACCCTGCAAAAAGTAACCACTTGAATGGACCCGACCGGAGGACCGTGCTGGGGATCGGGAGGGCAACCACTTGCTGCTAGGGAACTTTTGCGGGCTCTACCTGTTCGCAGGAAAATACGGGCGGATCTTCTAATTGGTATGGTGCTGATGAATCCAAAGTTGGCACGGGTTCCGTGTCTGGAGGGGGGACTTGCTTCGGGGGAAGCTTCAGGGGGAAGTTGCCTGAAGGAAGCTACCTTAGGTATGGTACGTATCTGACACGCCATCCCGCACGGTTGGTTCTGTTGTTTGAAGGTTTCACGGGGCGAGCGGGATGGATCATTGAAACCAGCTGCAGGAACTGCAGGAGATTCTACAAAAAGCTAGCCAAACATGCGCAAGCAAACGCACACGCACACACAAAACACATTGGACATGTTCTTGTTTGGCTCCTGTAAAGGTTCCGGGAGCTGGCTTGCTAGATGTCACGCTTATTTCGCTGGGGATCCCATCCAAACAACAACAGGAATTCCCGGGCTCAAGCAACCAAAGAAGCTAATCAAGGGTCACTCGAACAGATCATTGTAGGCATTCCCATAGATTCTAGATGCACAGTAACACAAAATGGTAGATACATGTCTGGGATACATCATAGCCAAATGGTGGAATTATGACCAAGGGTTACCTCCGAAAGGGTCCACTCAATTCTCCGTCGACATTTGGACCGAGGTCGGCCGTGATCTGAGCGCCTCCAAGATGAGCCCCAGCTCGACCTTGTTGTCGAACTTCTCCTGCGCAAGAGAAAACCGCTCTCTTTACAATACTCAGAGGGTCCCCTTGGTTCCCTCTGAGTATGTACTATGACCCCTTCCCAGACCTTCAGTGCCACGGGAACAGACAGAGGATCCCTCAACACCAAAATAAGGCCTTCCCTTCACAACCATCCCACAAAAAGGCTTCCCTCCGCTGCCAAATGGTACATTCTCATCAGGTGCCACTACAAAGCAACATATGGTCATCCCCTTTCAAACCAGAGGAACAACCCAATCATGTGCTTTAGCAAATGGAGGACGATCAGTGGCTCGCAAGAAATGGGGACCCAGGAATAATCGCCCAGAGAAAACCTAACCCAAAAAAGTAAAAACCACAAACCAAAAGCGCCGCTGAAGGTCTGGGAAGGAATCCTTTCGCTCATGATCCTAACCAGCCAGGCTCCACTTAGATCCAACCGGGGTATCCATTTGTCTGGGTTGCCCTTGCCTCCTGAGTCTATCCTTTTGTGGGTTTACTGGAAAGGTCTAAGGACCCATCCGGGCACACCAAAGACATGGCATGTTGTAACTTGGGGTGACCCTATCGGAACATTGCAATACCCTCCCGCTGGCCCCGGAACATGACAACACCCCTGCTTCGGACCATCTTGCTCCTGAAGGCACCTTCAGGATCAAGCACTTCCCAGAGTTCAGCTGTTGGCCCTTTCGGGAAATAGGGACCCCCTGACCGAGGTATCCAGGCTTTGGCTGCGCAAAGATGCCGCGCAGAATCACGCAATGAACGCACCGCCCTTTCAACATGCCAATATTAGAGAAGTCCAAAATGGCCAACATGTGTCTCTTTGGAAAGGACCTGTGACGCAGACCTTCAGTGGATTGCCATAGCCCCAAAACAACTGCCCCCCCATTCTTGGCACTTCATTTTGCATGGGTGGGGTTAGGAGGCCCAAAGCTTTTGCTGCCCCTGGTTCCCCCGCCCCCCTGCGGCACCAATCGCGCCCGGGCGAGTAGAATCGCCAGCGATGGCGCGCCTCAGGTGGTGGATTCTCGCCCTCCTCCCGCAGCTTGATCTCCAGATCTTTGGCTTCGCGCGCCTCACGCGGCCCCACTCCTCACCACCTTCCTTTCTCGGACTCAACGGGCCAAGAGAAACATGATCTTCCAGCTACACTCCCACTGCTACGTTAGTCAGAGCCTTCAACCTGTTTGGAAAAGAAAAGCATCCAGTGCATCCACGTAACTGAAAAGAAAAAATGAAAAATCATATCCGTGTTGGGGCTCGTCCAGGTTGCATTGTCTGCTGCCTTTGAAAGTGGTCGGCGGAACAACCAATTTGTCCCCACCTCTTGTAGGTTTCACTGCTCCACAGACTCTGGCCAAGGGATGAACAAACATGCTTCTGGTAAAGAAAGGGAAACGCTTCACCCAGGAACGCGCCTGCAAAATTGCCAAGCCCATTGCTTAATCTCCTAGCACCATCATCACCAACGACCAAAGCCGTGGAAATTAAGGATACAAATGATAATATCCTAACACTACCCAAACAAAAGGCGCCGTTCTTGCACAGGTGCCAAAACATGTGGAACACCAAGCCACCGTCCAACACCTGCTGCACCCTCTAAAATGACTTGAACAGCTACGACGATGCTGGGGATGTTCTTGAGCAACACCCTCTGTCGTAGATCAAGGGTGGTTTCAGGTGGCGTGTTGGAGGCGTGGAGCTATTTCTCTCTTATACAAGGGGGAGGGCAGCATGCAGCAAATGCCCTTCATAAAGTGGATACAAGCCGGTATTTCTCGCGTCTACACCTCCCAACAAGCCGCCTAAAAATTGGCGTTGGGTAGAGGTGCTTCCAGCTATTACTATAGCAGGTGTCCAGGTGGTTTTACCTTTAAGTGTTACATGATGGTTCCTCTGGTTACATGCTAAAGTGGTGACTAAAAGCACAGGAGGGGCGGCCTCTTGATGACTCAACCACGCCTTGTCGGTGAGAATCTTCTTCATCTCCTTGCAGTTGTGGACCTGGCAATGTCAGCCCAGCAGCCAGTGACCCATCCGCTAGCAAAAGGGAAACCATTGACTTTTGGTTGAAGCCAAGTTTAGCGGTTTCGGGCAGATGTGGGTTGATGCCATCTTTCGTGGTTTTGGAATGTTTCGGAACCCACCAAGTAAAAATGGGAAATTGAGTCCACTGAACCACTGGAGCATTAAGTCCTTCATGTCTTCCCCGTTTGGCACAATTTCGGCCCGACCCATGCAATTGGAATGATTGCACAACAGCACAGCAAAGCCACGAAGTGCCCGGTTCAGGCCAACTCTTGAAACATGTCAATCCGTATTGACAGGATGGCTGCAAAGGAAGCCAGTATACACTGGCTATTTTTTGCAGAGTTGTTTTGCCCCAAGGTGAGCTTGCCAGAACTCCGTAGAACAGACAATGAGGTCGCGATTTAGAAAGGCCCCTCTCCGCTCGGCCCCAAATAAACAACAAAAACAAACCGGCGGAGTGCGTTCCCCTAATCCCCCCCCAAAAACAAAGAAAGGAAAAGCAAAGACAAACAATACCATATAGCAAAAAGGGTTGTTCAAAACAAAACACATAATACATAAATAACAACAACATAAACAAACAAATAAACAAAATAAGCTCAGGTGATATCCCCTGCTCTTTTTAGCGCTCGCACCACCCCGCAGCCCTCGCAGAACCTCGTGGAACCCTCGTGGAACCCTGGTGGAACCCTCGTGGAACCTTACCTCAGGGCCGCCCCAGACCACCCCGGAGCCTACCTGCGCTGAGACCCCAAAGCTTTCAGCTGTTGGGGAATAAACAAACAACTTGATAACACCAACATATGAAAGAAACCACACCCATGGATGGGATGGCATTCCCTGCTGCCTTCCTCCCATCCAGCTCTTCCAACCCAAATGGCCAGGCCGGCGGCGTGGGGCTTGTGGGTATGGCAGTAGAAGCCGGAACAGGCGCATCTCGGCCGAGAAGGATCTATAGCACCCCAAACTCACTTCCGATTGAGTGGGTTGGCCAAAACCAGCTCCAAACACTTTGTTTGCCGGAAAACTGGTCGCCCCCAAACCTGTAAAGTCCAAGAACCCAAGCAGAGAGAAAAGGAAGATGCGCTCATTCTCTCCCCCTCCAAGCAAACGCAATTCAAGATTCCGCCAAATCTGCACTCATTCCCATCTTTCCGGTTGGCCCAATGGGCACAAGGCTTAGGGGCATAGTAAGTAGGTCCCCAATATCAACAATAGAGTAATAAATGCCACCTCCAGTCCAATTGAAACTAGATCTGATCTAGCTTTGGAATCGTCCTCAATCCCGCAGACGACCTCCGTCTCTGCTGTTTGGGTGGCTGGTTGGGTGGGTGGGGCCCCCTGAAAAGAAGCTTGGATTGCATGTATTCATAGTGTCACTTTTTTGCAAAGGAAGTCGCCTAACCTCCACCCCGAATCGGTCTGGGGCTCTCCAGCTGTCATTGCAACCTGAACACACCCCGCCAGCTTCAGGGAATTCCTTGTCCAGCATCCTAAGATCCAACCCTCCCCTGGCTTTCCCAACTGAGGCTTAGGGCCTACGGGCCTACGAAAGGTCGCCCCAGGTTCCAAGCTTCTGGACCGAGCTATGAACACTTGGTCCCCCACCCAGGCTCCAGACACGCCCTCCCCCGACGAATCCTGCCTCCAAATTTCTGGGAAGTCAGAGTTTTAGCTTGTTGGACCCTTTTCCAAAGTTTTCCCAATGCCAACAAAAAGCAGGCAAACATAAAGCAACATGGATTTGCAGCAAAACATCCAAATCCCCAGGGATTCATACGAAGCATTACGAAGTCGCCGGCTCTGAGGTCTGGACATCTCCACCTTCTGATCCAGCAACCTGCCGCAGCCCTTGTGAAAGCACCGGAAACGGTCCAGGATCTGCTGCACCTCGAGTCAAGCGGGCACGGACTTCCGACTGGACCCGATTCGGCGCCGTTGATCTCTGCCCCTTTGAAGGGGGTGCTAAGAAAAGGGCTCCAAAATTGTGACAACCCCCATACAAAACCGCCAAAGACAGGCGCAAACAAAGTCCAGAAAAAGAAAAAAACAACTGCGGACCAGACGCCGAAAGGAAACCCCGCCAATGCTTTTTGTCCGAAACGCGTCGTGGAGCGCGAACCGGGGGATTTGTATGCGGAAATTGCTCACCTTTGATAACCTCAAACAACAGAATCACCCACATGAGCCCCTGCACCAAGGGAAGTCGATTCGCTCTGGACATAAAAGGGGTACTCCCTCAAAATGGGTACATCATGGTACATCTGCTCAACACGCAAGCGGGTGCATCTTGTTTTGGGAAAATCTCTCTTGAGGTTGTTTTAAGGGAAAATGGGGACAACCCAAGTAAGTTTGGAGCATGTATCCTAGGGTTTTGGACACTGGTTGTGATGGAACCGGGCCAAGCCCTTTCATTAGACAAACAACACCACAGCTATGGCCATTGTGATGGGTTGCTTGATTGAATAAACATGAGCGGCATGTGTATATATATATATATATATCGGTTCCTTGTCAAGTAAGCTACCGAGGCATGTAGGGAGCGTTCCAGGATGCCCTCGTGGTGCTGCTATCGGACACATTCTCTTGAATCGCGTCTCAATGTAACCTCCAGTAGATTTCCAGGGAAACATGACCCCCTTTCCGTGGTTCATCACACAAGGGCACCGCTGGAGGTCGTGAATTTTGGCTATAGGACAAGCAAGGTTTTCGTCTGATTCTGGGCGAAGCTTTGCGCCAAATCCGACTTGCTTGGCTCGTTTTCTCTGCATGCAGTTGGGGAAAGAGAGGATTCCATATAGAAACATGTCCTCAAGTAGTGCACCCATGAGTCTTCTCATCGGCCAGCCTGCACATGTTCTACTTTGAGCGTTCAAGGGTCGATGATATTTCATGCTCTGCTCACGGATACAGCAAATGAGACTCGTGCTCAGAGCTGAACATCCAACTTGATTTGCGCAAATGTTGACGTTCCGCGATATTTACGCGGGTTACAAGCTAGCCTGCTTGCTGTACTTTTCTGACACACTCAAATCGATAAACTCCGTGCATAGTTCCTGGCAAATGAATATGGCAGCAAAGCATGAGATCCTTGCATGCGCTCACCAATGGGGATTCCACTCCTACACACAACTGATGCTGGGGTTCCTTCTGTTCATCTGCACGAGAGCATTACACTGGTTGAAAAGGCTTGAACATACTGGACCATCATGTTAGGATGACAACACTTGCACCAAAAACTGGGAACAAGTCAGAGCTGCCTAACCCCCCCCCCCCCCAGTGAATGGATTTACGGCCCCCTCTTTACACCAAACTAAACAACCAGCCGAGTGTTGGTCGTTTCTTGTCTAAGCGAAGGTTTTAAGCAAGGTTTGGCACAACAAGGCCGTGGTCCCTTGAGGGAAACCGGCCAAGCCGGCTGACAGGCTAAGCGTCCCGCTCCAAAGTGACCTCGATCCGTTGGAATTGCAACCCAGGGGAAGTGGATTCGGGAACCCAAAAGAAACCGCCAGAGGCTTAAAAACTGGGAACCTCTCCAGGAGACAAAACATCATCAAGCCAAGGAAACGGATCACAGATCTGCCATGTGGTGGGAAATCCAGCATGTCCCCAAGCCAACGGGAGGAAACATTTATAAAAAAGCGTTCTTTTCCTTGTACCAAGGGGAAGTACTCCGGAGGGTCAATTCTTGGCAGCTCCCCATCGGGCTTCAATTTCAGCATTCAGTGAAGTACTGCGGATGGGCCAAAACCACTTCGCACCAGTTAAGATTGGTGGGTGAGCAAGTATTCAAACCGGGGTTCATCCATATCTGGTGATTTGTGGATCGGATTTGTGGAGAGGCACTCTCAGCAGCGCACAGTCACCATATTGCTAAACCGAATTTACAACCGTCGTCCACGACTGCTTGGAGCACTAACTAAAAAAAGAAGCAATTGCTCCCGTGGATTCCACGTTCCATTGCTATTGGAAGTCGGCTGTTTCTCCCGAGCCTGATGGACGTCTTTCCTTGCAATCCCCCCAATAGGGTTCTTGGCGGGCCAATCAATCCGGCCCAAGCTATTGGCATCCAATGTGGTGCCGGAATTGGCTCCTGTATCAAGATTCATTGGCCCACATCTGAAATACCCCAAAATAACATATTCAGATTGTCCTTCATATTTTGTCTACTCTGAAATCCACAAACAAATTTTCAGAGGAGACTTCAGATTCACGGCCGGGTGATGTCTTCATATACCTGGCGTCTGAGGCTGCGCACGCTGCAACTTCTCCATAGAGGCGTTCAAGGAGCCTGACAACATTGGGCTTTCGATATTTTCGCGACCTGGGTGTTGAATAGGGTGTCTGGACAAAAATCCACCAGTACACATCTCTTTTAGTGCCTCCTTGGGTAAATTAGACGAAATCGGACTAGTCAGGACCCAGTCTGGCTCCAGGAAAGAAACATCCTCAACTCGCCCAACAAACAATCCCCTCAAAAAATCACTTTGACAGGCGACCAGCACCCCGCACCCATTCGCTGTTGGTTCTACTACTGTGGTTGGACGGTCTTACATGCTCCTATGTTCACGTATTCTTACGATGTGGTGTCAAGTTGCCCAAGCAAGCAACATAAGCACTGTGGTAAAGCCATCAGAAACGCCAAGAACGTCTACGACGGCAGAAGCCCAAGGGTTGTCACAATAGGCAGGGTTTGCCTTTTGGTCATTTGCCTCTTGGGAAACGAACAAACAAACTCTATATAGAACCCCTCGATGTAATTTATGCCTCAAGGAATGATTGGCTGACTGAAAAAACAAAACAATCAAAGGGACACTCCATGTGTGTGGAACCCACCTATGTATGGTCTTTGTTTCATTGGAGACCCTTCGGTGGACGTCATCTGTACGGACAACTACGTCCACCATCCTCTTCCAAGGGTTGAAACTCACACCCATCGTAGTTGAAAATATAAGGTTCCCCTCCGAGAGTATAGACTCCCTCTTCAACTTTCAACATGTTCAACCCAAAGCCAACATGGGTCCAAACCTTCACCTGTAAAACATGTTTGCTCCGAGTTCCTATGTCACGTGTTGCCATCATGCCCGTCAAAAGGCGCCGGCCTTGGACAAAGAGGCGTTTGGCCTTGTTCAGCATGGCGTAGCGGTGCCTCTCGGGCGAACCCAACTCAGCAATCCCCATGCAGAGAACAAAACAAGAGCCCTTGGTTACCGCCAAACTGCTTCCTGACCGAGTTGCAGCCAGTAATATGCTCGGAAGAGGAGGAACAACGGAACCACTTCTTTTTCTTATTACGGCTGGCCATTTGTGTTGCGGAAACCCCATCAAATAAAGGGGGAAACACGGGTGTGCTACTAAACCGGTGGGTTCAGTCTGCGAAGTTCCCGCCCAGGTTGGCATGGAACCCGCCAATTTGTGCCTGTTGGCATGCTTCAACTGTGATCCTGGCAACAAGCTTCAGCACAATCAACCCGAACCTCACTTTTTGTTTCTTCTTTTTTTTTTGCCGCGGGACTCCAAGAGCATTCACTCGTGCCATGAACTGCATGCAAAGGAATTAGATGCTGCGAAGGACTGCTTGACACTGCGGCCTCGAACCTCACTTGCCCCAAAGACCTGAGAAACCATATTTCTAGGTGAACTCTCGTAGTGCACCAGCAATTTTAACAAGCATCTCACGTGTGCAAAGCACCAGGGAACAAATTTGGGAATCATCATTCATCCCCTGAAACACCTGGACTCCAAAAAGACCCACAGCATCATGCCCGAAATGGGCCGTACGTCTATGTCGCTTGCGAGGTCACGAATTCATACGCAAATGGACAACCCATCTGATCCCTTGTGGGCCACAACTCGTTTCGGCGACACGGTATAAGCCACCTCTTGAGAGGGCGCTTCCCAGAATAGTCGCTAAAAAATGTAAGCCAACAAAGGCTACGTGGGAACTGTTGCGCCGAACCCCTGTTCAAGCATGTGTACAACCCTCTCTTGTTCAAAACACAGCCTTTCGGTCTCCCCTTAATGACTTAACGGTCGCCATGAATAGGTGGTTGAAACAATCAGTGCAACCTGCTTGTGTTTTCCCTTCAGAATGCAACCAACCTTGACAGTGCTGACACTCGATTCTCAGGGCCCGGCACCATCCAGTAGTTGGGGTACTTGCGCACCTCGTAGTTCTCGCCCAGCTCCTGCGCGGCGCTCGCCCCATGCTCCACCAATCCTCAGCATACCTCAAAAGGAAACATACCTTTTTTGGAGTCATTCCTTTATTTGGTGCTCAAAAGACCTTGCAACAAGGGTATAAAATTGGCACCGGATGAAAAACGGAAGGACACGATAGAAATTCTCTCCATGGGAATTTGGCCGTGGAGCAACTCTGACTTTGTACGTGCCGCCCTTTCCGTTCGCCGTTTTGAGACAAACAATAATTTCCTCTTCCTTGTCCATCTGTATGTTACTTGTTGTTATGATGGGACAAAAGAAAGGACAAGGAAACAAAAATGAGATGAGAAGAGAAGCGAGACTCACAAAATGATTACCTGTCAGCTCTGGGCTTCAGTCATTCCTTCCTTCATCTGTTTCTTAGAGTTGCAATAATCATAGTGTAGGAGTTGAGGATATGATGAAGGGTTAACCACCGACGTGCGGACCCGTTTCTACGACTCATACTGTAGCTACTGTAGTTGGTATAGTGATGGACAGAGATGATTGGTGGAGAAGCTCTTGTCAATCACCCACTATCCTCACCGGGGAGATGTTTTCCCAATAAGCACGACTAACCGTCTGGAGATACAAAGATGAAATGTCATAACGAAAGGAGAGAGCCAGCCAGATTCACCGTTCCCAGCATTGGAGGAGGTGATTCGGCTTGTTTCCCCCCATTTTGGCTGAGTTGCAGTAAGGAAAACCAGCCCTCAACCAATACGGGGTGTCCTAGTTTAGAGGGCATTCTTCACTGTGTGACGAAAAAACAGCAGAAAAAACAACTGGAAAGTTTCAAACTTGAAAACACACCAGTTGATTGACCTGGGGTGGGCATTGCACATCAGCCAGCAAATGGAAACCTGCTGAACCTTGTCCTTCCCAAGCGCTATGTTTCAGCCGCCCAAAAATAGGGAATGCTACCCTTCCAGCAATTCCGAAAGTGGACAGGCTTAAGGCACTTTGTCCACTTCCAGGATTTCTAGGGAAAAAACTGACCAGTTCCTTACCTCTTCGCTACGGCCGGCGCAGGTTTTGGCATCGGTGCGCGTCCTTGACGAACTCTTTGATGCCTGGCTCCTGGCGCTGCGCCCTCCCAAGGCGTCCCTCTGGAAAAGAAGTCATTCGTGAGCGGGGGGGGGGGAGGGGGGGGCAACATCCCTAGGAGCCCAAGACCTCATGATTTGAGGCCTTTGGGGGTTCAAGGCCCTTGTATATAGGGTCTTGGGCGCCTAGGGTATGGTACTCTTGATTAATCCGAAGTTGACAAAGGCTTGTACCCGCAAACGGCTTTGTATTGGGGCAGTGTCAGAAGTGCACTTTGCAATGGGTACGAGCAAAGCCCCCGGCATCTTTGAGAGCATCACAAACAAGTGGTATATAACTCCAAACACAGCGAAACTAAAGGAATCCATGTATGTATGTTCAACCATTTTTTTTACAGGATATCTATTAGCAAAGGTATTGTTTGCAAAACACCCAAGGCAATGATATCCTTGCAACTAGACAAATGCAGCAAAGCATGCTGTTAGCCGTCAAACTCACGTTGTTTTCTTGCCTCATCTCTGGTGGGAAAAGTAGGGCCCCAGCTTTTAGTATCCCTTGAGCATCACAAGGTTCAAATGTGAAAGGATCCTCCGACAAGCCAGCTTGCTTCCTGAGTGAAATCTAAGGTACCGAATCGCCACTCCATGTTTGTAGTACTCCCAAATGAAACGGTCCCTGCTCAACTTTACGTTTCCCTCCAGCAGAATCTCCTCAGAACGAACGAGGTCCGGCACATCGTCGCATGGGCAGTGCGGTTCGAGCCGGGGGGTGCCTCCAAGTGCATGGTGGAGATTTGAGTCTTGGGGCCACTTTCTGTGATCCCAACCGGTACGGGAGAATCCCACTTTGGTACAGAACAAGTGTTTCCCGCCATGCACCCATGCAACTTTCAGGCTCAGGTTTCAGGATGTTTCAGGCTGAGCTCAGATTCCTCCACGTCTTGGGCGATTCAAACAATTTGTCAGACTGCGACCCCCTGCCAAAGTTCACTCTTTGCTGGTTAAACAGATGAAACAAAAAGCCTGCAAAAGGCAATCATCAAATGCAATCAAACGGGGGGTTGGCAAACAGATCGTCCGTATTTGGACCTGCCGCCTTGTGGCGCCCAGATGGGATACCACAAAGGACCCCCTCAAATTTGGACAACTGCCCCAATCCATGTACGCGATTTCATGTCTCCTTGTCCGGATCCGCGCGGTCCGTCCGCTCGGAGATCTGAGATGGTGGAAAAGCAACCAGAATCAGGAACAATTATGTTGTTTTTTTTTTCATTCTAGGGATCCCTCTTCCGAAGCCCAACAATAGCCAGGAACCAACCCCAGGGTTTGTCAACCGAAGTCTTCAAAATGGGTGGCTGCCCTGGAACTTCCCTTGAAAAAACAAGGCAGAGGAGTACCATCAAAAGAGGCACTATCATGAAATATCCAAACCGGGGCATCGCTCTTCGGGAAGGTCCCAGCGCTAAACCGTGTTTTGCGAAAGCGACCCCCCCAATACACGCCGAAGAAGGCACGAGCTTTGACGGTGGCGCACATGTGTATATATATATATATATATATCACTTCCCAAGTTGACTGGCCAAAAAAAGATCGAACTTTTTATTTAGCACTACAATGGTCTTTCCAAAAAGTTTAAAGTCCACCAACTCAGGAAGTGATATATACAAATATATATATATATATATATGTATACATGCTCACCCCCCCCTCTCACAGCGCGCACCTTTTCACTTGTACAGCCTGGAAACACTGATAAATTCACTAGCAGGGGGTGCGCATACATATGTGTATATACAAATATACGTCTACATAGCTCAAACAATTGCAACAAATCCAAAGCTACAAGCTCTGAAACCTGCACAGGCTCAACAAAGTGCACCAAGCAAGCCCTGACCTCTGACATTGCATTGGTTGTTGCACTTGTTTGAGCCTGTGCAGGTTTTGGAGCTTTCAGGTTTGGAATTGTTGCATTTTGTGAGCCTGTGCATGTTTTCAGGATGCAACCTTCCAACAATGCAAACACAACAGGGTGTTTTTGCAGCTTCCTTTTCAAAACACACTGCAAATAACGGTGTTTTCAACAGTGACAAAGTTGCATCTGAGAACGCTTTAGATGATACAAACACACTGCAAATTACAGCGTCTTCTGCAAGGCATGTGCAAACCAAGTGGACACTGAACATCCGCAAACAAATATCTATTGTGCGAAAAGTAGAAAGGTGGGCCCTGAGGGGGGGGACCATATATATATATACAGATTATACGCGTATATGTCTGCCCGTACACAGCTACGAGACAGTGAATTAACCTACCCAAATACAGGGCAAGCAGTATGAATGAAACTTTGTCATGGGTGAGCTTGCCAATGAACGCTCTTTGTGAGGCCTGCAAGAGGACAAAACTCCTTCTTGCATTGCTACTGGTTGGGCAGCTCCGGTTTTCTTAGTGGGAACCCAATTGATTCATAGAGCGCTACGTAATAGAGGATGCCGTCATTTTGTTCGGGAGAAACCCGCTCTGTTCGACTGCCCACTGCCCAGTTCAGCAATCCGGATTGCTATTACAAAGTTCTGTTCTTTGTACCAGATCCGTTCAAACGGATACATCTGATTACACGCAGGCGAAGCCACAACCAACTCCAGCCCTTAGAACTCCGAATAAAAGCCTGCTTCAGGTCGCAACACGGTTTCCGTACTTCACAACTTGCCCAACTTGGGCCACGGAATCCAAAGTGGCCCTTCTCTCTGGAAGGTTCCATGGAAAGTCCCCCTTTTGGGGTTGAAGGTGGACATGTTCATTGCTTCACGGCGCCCCCGTGTCTTTTTTAGGCTCCGGGCGGTGTGCGGATGAAAGGTGCACTCCCGGACATCTTCCTCCTGGCGGTAAGGTTGATGGGCGGCAGGTCTATCCGACGAAACCAGGTAGGACTCCCGAAAACCTTGGCCTTGAGCCACCTCAATGCGTCCAACCAATGTTGGGGTTTGGGCTCTTTAGCTCCAGGGGCTTTAAGCATCCCCTCGGTGTCCACCCCACCGAGTAAAGGTGTGCATCCACGGTGTCCCATTCTTCAACCGTCTTTTTACATGTGGGCTCGAAGCTACGGATTCCTCTACAACAAGGTGGAACACGTGCGCGGCACTTTGCAGGTGTATGGCCAATGTCAATTTCGCCGGAAAGGCGATCCTTTTCACAAAGTTCTAGACTTAGACGAACATTTGTTCGGGGTCGCTGCCTTTTGTACTGCTCGTGCCCCTCAGACTCCAAATTATAAAGGTTCTCTCAGAGAACATGAGGAATTTAGAGCTCATCCCCCGTTCTTGTCCCTCCCAAGTAGTGCATGATGAATTGAGGACTCGTCCCTCAAAAAGTCTCCACACGGACCAGAGACACCTCGTGAAATTTGGACCAAACCTCAGATAATGTCAGAGAAGCGGAAAAACATAAAGCAACCTGCCAGCAATCCAAGCCGAAATTGGACAGTTGCCACATGAGCATAGCTTGCCTTGGAAGATGCTCAGCCACCACCCCAGCCATCATTTTTCGTGTCCCCGCGCGCCTTGGCGAAGATGCGGTGCCGCAGCGCCACGGCCTCATCAGTGCGGAGGATGTGGAACTCCTGGCGGGCCATGCGGCCTGTGCCGCTCTCAAACGCCAGGGTGTCTTTGTGCTTTTTGGGGCTCGATGCTGTACCCGTTTGACCTTGACTTTAAAGGGAAGCCAGCAGGGAAACACGCAACTTTTGGGGGTCCCCCGATTTTGACACGTTCCCAAAAGCTGCAGATGGACCAAATTCGCGCAAGGCACCACTTGGTAGGGGGCTTATCGCAGGATGGATACACCTTCATCCATATCAATTGGCGCAGGATGTTTCACATTTCTATAGAAACCATCAAGGAACAACACAACCACACATGTAATTCGAGAAGGATGGCTTTGCCTGTTTTGGGACGCTTGCTAGCGTTTTGGGAGTCTCTCGTGGTGGTACTCTTCTGGCCTTCTCATTGTGAGGAAAGTCCACCATTGGGCGTCCGTTTTGCGCTTACCCATTGGACCTTTGGTCTGCCAGCATGAACTGCTATCATACAAAGGAATTCCCCGAGTTCAGGATCCGCTTGCGCCAAAGCTCGTGTTGGCATGTGCCATGGTCAAAGTTCCTTCGGGCAATTCCCTGAAATCGCTTCCATCCCAACCCCCTGGCTTGCTTGAGGTGCACCTTCACAGAAAAATGTGTTGTTTTCCTCTAATCACCATTCTTCGCAACAAAACAGTCTATACACATCACCTACATATTAGAAGCCAAGAACAGTATTCGAGTGGCGAACAAGCTGCCAACCAATCTGGGCGCCTTTCCGGCTGTTTTTGAGAAGTTTTTAAGTTCGCCAATATGCCAATGTTCAATGCCAATGGCAGTGTACGTGTGCGTGTGCGTGTGCGCTATGTCGTCACTGCATGGTTGGTGGAAGGGACCCCTGCAGAAGAAATTTGGCCGGACCCCTAGAGATCCCCGTACACCGGCTCCTCCACGAAGGGGTTAGTCCAAATCATTCCTGAACAACCCCTTGGCCCTTGACCATTCCATGGGGCGAGGACACCAAGCCGTTCCACTGGAGGAACAACTTACGCGCAACCCAAGGACCGGGAAAACATGGCGATCACTCTATGAAACTAAGCACAAAAGGTGTCACGTTCGGTCATTTTGCTGTTTGGGCAAGTGAGTGAAACGCGAAAGCATTGAGCATATAAACTTCTTGTTGTGCTCTGGCTTGGCCACCCCAGATTGACCAAGTGGTTGGTCCACCCCAGATTTCGCCACGGGCAACCACACATAACCACGGTCAAGATTCGATGCTGCCAACGACCCAGATTGGTTGATCAGATTGCAATGCTCCCACGCACAGGCCTCATGCCTGTCTTAAAGATGCACCTTCGAGTTTTTGACATCCTGTTCATTCTTCGTTTCCGTTGATTTTTCGTCCCAAAAGCACATCCCTTTCACTAGGCTTGACACACGGGGTGTTCCCGTTGATCAGGCCCCACTTCCCCCACCAGCAGCCGCCTTCTTGTCCTTTCTAGACATCTTCTCCAAGGCCTCCGCGCTCCAATTGGACCCCACTCCGCTCAGCTCCCCCCGCGTGTCGGTTTCCCCAAGTCCGGCAAGTGCCGGGGCAAATCAGAGTTTGAAGGAATGTCCCGGCCCCCCCCAAAAAAAAACAAACAAAGAGCCCACAAATAAGTTCCTCTCCCCTCTCACCAAAACATCTAGCATGCCAGTCCTTGTGTTTTAAAACCATCAGCCGAACCATACGAGAAAAGCACCTGAGTTGCCCCCTCCCTTCAGAACAGCAAATTGAGGCTCAGAGCAAACTAGTTGATCAAGTGAGGTTGCTGGCTAGCGGACATTTCTACAAGTGCTTGCTGCAACATCTCAGCTGGTAAGTAACACACATGCTCCATACGGCCCCAAGACGCGAGCACCAAGCACGTGGATGCCCAACAATATGACCTAAGCCAATGCAGTTTTCAGTGATCTGCCAAATCGATACTTCGCGGCCTAAAACAGCAACATGGTATGTTCAAGTCCGCTCACCTGCCGAGAACGGCAAAACACAGAGTAACTCCATAAACAACCATGCCAAACAAGTAAGTGAGGGTATGATCCGCTGAAAAAGGATCGGCACCCAAAAAGCAAAGCTGTGTGCATCACACATGCCAAAAACAATACCATGAACACCGACAAGCCAAGATATGATTCGGAAACACGAGAAACCTAATGTATGGTGGCAAACTGCGTGTTGGGTTGCCTGCCCACGTAGCACGAACAACTCCACCACAAAACATGCCGAGTAAAATGGAAAACACCTGCAACACAAACGTGTCAAACATACACACCACAGACACAAACACGTCAATCATAACACCCTAGGGAGACAACAGCATATTACAACAAACATACACATCATAGAACACCATAGAGACGCACTTGGCGCCTGCTGCTCGTTCTCATTGGCGGCGTCCGGGCCACGTTTGAGGCGACGCACCTCGCGCTGCGGATGTCCGCTCGGCGAGACGTGCGCCTGCGAACCCACATGGGGGGTGCCCTTTGCCCAAACACTCCATGTATGCAATATGTACCCACTTTTGTACCTGCCACATTGGGTCAGATGTTGGTTCTTACTACCTGCACGGATTGTGTGGGTACTACACAACCAGCCACACATATCGTTTTAGGTCGGAGCCCCGAAGCGCCAAGGAAATAAACACCTAGAGGGCACCTGGATGCGGCGCCAATGGATCCATACAGTCAGTATCAACTGGGTTTGCTTCTTGTGGGGTACTTCAACTGGGCTCACACGAGTTGCTGAACAAGGAAGGCAATTGTCATAGGAAATAGCAGCACAGATCCGTTCTGCGCCGAGCTGCCGTACTTCTTCTAACCACATGAGCAACAAGGCTTGGCGGGCTTCATCATAAATATGACTGACTGATTGTTGGTTTTACGGGCAAACTTGATCAACTCCAGATTGCTTTGAATAAATATACACTTCTTCGCAACCCACTCCACCACCAAAAAAGGTTGCCAAAGCTCCCCTTGCGCCAACTTGAGGAACCCGCTGGACACCAAGGCACTTTCGATAGAGGCGCCCTCAAAGTCTCGCTGGTCCTCTCAAGTTTGGAACAAGATGGAACAAGGGCTGGCTGCTGCGCAGAAGCGCCCGAAGCCAACATTGGCCCAGCCCAAGTCCACGTGCGCACCCTGGGCGCCCATGCCAGGTCCATGTTGATGACCATGTTGAAGCTCTGTCCGTGCACGGCAGTGGCCCAGAACCTGCAAGTTGGGGGGGAAGTGCGAGAAAGCAAAACACATCATCAAAGAGAGAGAGAGAGAGAGAGAAAAAAAAAACAGAACAACAAAAAGGACAGCCGAGAGAAAAAAGAGAGGGAGTCACCTGTTTGGGCTTCGGAAGCCATTTTGTCAGGTGTTGTTCAAAGTGCCCTTTGCCCGGAAGGCTAACCGTTAACAGGGTCAAGGTCAAACTATGGTTTCTGCTGACCAGGAGTGTTTGAACCACTCAGTCAGGCCCATGCACTTGTTGAAACATGGACAGCCCCTCGCTCAGCTTTAAGTTTGGGCGTTACCGCCATCCGTTTGGCTTTCCTTCAAAAGGATCACTAGGGTTTGATGGCTGCAGTATCTAGCTGTATAAGTATACGGTATACGCACATGTTCGCAAACTCCTAATCATTCCAACACCTGAAATTAAACCCGATCTAAGAGGATCCTTCAACATGGATGAGCTCGTCTTACCCGCTGGTTAGCTCGCACCTGAATAGGGGTCACCACGCACGTACGTGCATAATTATAGGGGAGCGGCGCAACCGCATCTGCAGAACAAAAGAACAAACCGCGCAAGTGGCCATGTTAAGTCCCCGCTCCCCCCCAAAGGAGAATCATTGTTGAACCTCCCCGCCGCCTCCTCTGACCCCACAGTCAAGCTTCCCAGGGACATGATCGAACATGTCAATCACTTTTCTTGGGGGAGGGAGGGGGCATGAGAAAATGTAACTCCAACGTGCCCATGTGTCAAGCTACATTCTAACTGCCCCCGCCAGGGGGCCCTGCTTCTTCTTTCTTCTTGCAGGGGCAGGGGGGCCGAACACGTCTCCCCCCATTTTGGGACCCTAAGGGGTGGGAAGGAATGGACCAGCCACCCTCAGACCGCCGCCTGTCGGGGCCGGGGAGGGCACTGGCCTTGACGCTCGCCCTGGCGAAAAATGGCCGGCGCCCAAACCGGTTGACCGTTGGTGCCAGTGGAAAATTCAAAGGCGGCAAAGAACCGAAATGGCCAAGAGGGGCTTGTGTTTGGCATCCGTCAACTTGCTGGTTCTCAATAAGGAATCAAAAAGCGGGTTGAATGAAGCTGTGGCTCCTTTTGGGGTCATGTCCTCTTTCCCTGCTGAGAAACGGCAGGTCAACCCCCACTTCCGTTTAAGTTGATCTGTTGTTGGTGAGGTCCCCCACCAAACCGAAAGAGGGTTCCGCTGAGCAACGGGAGCATGACATCATGCTGCGGTTCAACATCCATTTGTCAAGGGCCACAGGGTGGTAGTGGTCAGTCCTTTGCCAGGAAAGGCGTGGAACATTTGTCGCTTTGTTGAGTCTGTCGTCATAGGGTTTAATTCTACAAATACTCACTTTGATGCCATGTGGCTCACCTTCTTTAGCATAGCTTTCCAGCTTCGTTGCAGGCTCCTTTGATACCAGGTTTGTTGCATGACTCGCGCTCACCTAGCCTCCCACCAACAAAGATGCAAGTGCGCATGCACCCTTTGGAGACGAAACGCGTCCTCTAAGATGCAGAAGCTTGGGACAGGGAGGAACTGACCACCCAGAGTGGTGGCACGTCAAACTTGGAAATCTGTTTGGAGCCGTGTTGCACCGCCAGTGAAGGGACCAAAAGTGGTTCAATATTTTTGACAGTCACCCAAATGAACATAACGTGCCTGTCATGTGTCTGGTCCTACCAACCGTGCTGTACTCCACAACCGCACATAGCCACATATGTATACCTAATATGTATATATATATATGTGTTATGCCCAGCAAACAAACAGAAGCCACCAGGCGGAAGATCAGTTCGGTCCGATGTGTGCAGCAAGGTTACAACTCCCTGAAGATGAGGGTTCGGAACCTGGACTTGGCTTATATATGTATATATATATATATATATATATGTGTGTACACATAGTATGTATTTTGTGGACTCTATGCTTGCAACAAACAACAATCATACTTGTAAGTAGCCTCCTGCCAACAAACATGCTCAGACTCCCTTTGCAAGACGCACATCGGCTTTCACAAGGAAACCGAAAGTGCACCGAACCTGCTAGCCGTACCCTCCCCATTCTGTTCAGGGATCCTTTCTCTTTGAAAAATGCCTCAAACCTCCGGAAAACGGGAGGTAAAGAGAAAAGGGCAACCAACTCCTCGGAAACGAACCACCTTGACAACAGGATGTCGGGCGCTCTTCAAGCTCCCCCCTGACCAGTGTGTCTTCTTGTCACTGAAGTTGACAAACACTACTTCACCATTCTCAGTCACCCTTAAAGTGCGAGATCTCGTCAACATCCTGGGCCCTGCAATAGTTGACCCAGAAACGTCAGCTCAGGTACTCCCCGTTCATCTGCCCCGATGCGCCTCTCAGCTCTCCTAAGCATCTCCAAGAACCGCTGGCGGAACAGTGGCGGCGCGAGCCGCCACACCTCCGGCTTAAGCAGCCAAGACCCTAAACCAAGGTGGTGGCAAATATCGAACCTAGGTGTCCGAGGAAAGGCCTCCATGAAAGCTCGGAACCAACCCTTTTGTGAACTCTTCCCAAACCCATGGCGAAGTAGAATAATTGCTTTCCGAAACTACTAACCTGCTACCCAGGTCTTGATTGCGCAGGATTCCCTATTCTGGAATCCTGGAAGCCCAGAAACGTCACCCAACTGACCCTTTGACTTGGCCTCTCCAAGATCACATTTCGATGACACATGGATGTGTCTTCAAATGGGGAACCTGCAGAACGGCGGCTGTCTTCCTGCTTTTTCTGTTAAAACCAACCAAAAGGGGGTATATCCTCAATAAAAGACACACCCATATCTATTCAAACTCGAACTATATCACTTCGCCAATCAAACCTGCACACTTCACAACAATCCTAGAGCCCGAAAGAAGGGATGTTCCCATTCACACGTGTTGTTGTTGTTGTTGTTGTTGTTGTCAATTGATGGGTGAGTACTAATGGGGTTGTCAACTCAAAATGACATTCTGAGAAGGGTGTGTGTGTGTGTGTGTGTTGGTTCAAGGGCAACACCTGTTAGGTTGATTCAAATGAACTTCTTGAAGACAACTATGTTGGATAACACAGTGGGCCCCAACAACAGTTTGCGACCCCCCCAAAAAAGAAAGAAAGAAAGAAAGAAAGAAAGAAAGAAAGAAAGAAAGAAAGAAAGAAAGAAAGAACGAGAGGAACGTATTTCACCTTACTAAGGGATCCAATAAAATCTGATCTTCCCGGTTGTCTCCCCAAAAGACATGTCACAGGTGCAAACCATGCTTGTTGGAGGGTACCGTACGGACTACCTTGCCGAGTTGTCACGAGAAAGATGGAAAGGGACGACAGGCACTTCGTACCCCACCCAAACAGAATGCGGACACAAAATCGTGATGCTGTTTGCCCCACCACAACACAGAAAGTGTTGAATTCTGATCCACATTTAGTGATCATTGAAACGTACAGTAACTTACAAAAGAGATCCAGGAACATTGACCCAGTTTGGCCCCTCTTTTACCCCTTTGCGATTTAAGGTATGGCATGGCACGGCCTGGTGGTGAAGCTTTCCGTGGTTCTCCCTCGAGACCCGGCCTTTACCACCTGCACGGAGAGCGCCAACGCCTGCGGAGAGCTTCCGCCACGTGGCGCTGAGAGTGGTCGGCAACGTCTGATCCCAAATTTCGGAAGGACTTCCCCAAACAAATGGCCCATCAAATGGCTATGGGTCAAAACCCCGGTGCCCCGGTGAACACCCAGGAAGCCTTCTAAAAAGACAACAGTGGAGTGGTAACCATCCACAAACAGGCAACTTAGGTTTTGACCCACAACCAAATGATGATGGTAGGTTGCATGTAAATCCGCCGGGGAGTACATGCCCATGCCCACGGCAGTCAATGATGATCTGGTTCCATGTTCATCTGCAGGGTGGCTTTGAGGGTAAATGTCTGGGTCAAACAACATGGGTTATCCGTGATTTACTACAAGTTATCCGAGGGTGGACTGTGGTTTGGAGGCGTTACGATATTAGTCGTTCTGGAACAAAAAGATAGATGGCACTGGCAAATTGAGTACTTGGAGCCAAACTGAAACCAGGGCCAGCTAAGTAACTATAAGTGTCAACCAAACTGCCCTAGAAGGACACCTATGTTTACCCAAGCCCGCGTACGATGACCCTTCTGGGTGGCTTCAACCTGATGCAAAGGCCGTATTGTTTGTGAATCAATCTTTGAGAGGCAATGATGCAAAAAAGAAGGACATCCTTGTTGTCTCTTTGACTTGAATCCGAGGTGGTGGCCAATATCCCCAACATAGATTCCTCCGGATAACAACCAGTTCCCACAACCGGGAACCAACCGAAACCCATCCAAATCTTGATAGAATCTGTGTAGTTGAGGCTTGGTCATCTTGTCTAAGGTGAGCAAACCTCAATGTGTCGAAATTTGGTTCGGGCTCTGTCGGCCTGTCCAGGCTCGGAGCCTCCCACTCCGGGCCCTCGAAATCCCGGAGGCCTTGCCGTCGACCTGTGGCCAAGCGGAGAACTCCAGACGTACCTGGCAATGTCCGAATTCGCCACGGGCATGAAGAATCAGAACGGGGGGCCAGGGAGGGGGGGGGGGAATGAAAATCCACAAATGATTCTGAAAATCCGCAAATGCTCATGAGATGGCCCCCTATAATATTGTATTGCAGATCCGGGATACAAGAAGTTCAGCCCATGATGCCAAGGTGGCCAGCTTTTGGCTTCTCGTTGGGGGCTCTCGAGGTCTAGCTTCGGCTTGCTAGATTTGCCTTGAAACTTACTGGTGGGATCCGGTGAACTTGCCACTTGAGGCCCCCAACAAAGAATTCAGGGACCCTGCCTCAAGAAGCTTTGGCAGGATCCTTTGGGCCCAAGACCCACGGTCCACGCAGGTTTCATAGCAAGCTGGATATAATTGTGGGGCTCCTTGTTTTGAGGCAGGGCCGAAACGCATATTCACCTATGGATGTTTGACTGATGGGGGACCCTTTTGGACGGTTGGAAAGAGAAATCGGAAAGCTTAGGAATTGGCGCACCCAGCGAGCTACGAAGAAGCCCGGCACCTCAGTGAGAGCCAACTGAGCATTGACCATTTTCCAGACAAGAGGATCAAGCTGTGCGGGATGATTGATTTAGATTCGACGAGACTTTTGGTGGGTGTCGGGAGGATTGGCCTAAAGCAACGTGGGGTCCGCCTAATTCTCATTCTTCCAGTCTGAGCTGCAAAAGCAGCTTTCCAGGGTCACCCCTCCTCAATTCCATTTGAGGTTCAGGGTGGCTTCTCGATGCTCCATTTCACGAAGGGCGCTAGCAATCAGAAACCATGTAGAATGCACCTTCTACTCCACTGACCGAGCCGAAATGCAAGGCCTGCCAGCCAGCAGTCTTTGGTTCACGTGCGTTCCTGCGTTTTGCAAAGCCCGTTAGCGTGACAGGCAAGAGGTGGCCATCATTCGGCAGACAACACGCTGTCATTTTGGCCTTGGCATACAGTGCGGTGGGCACGCAGTCGAACGGGCGCGCAATCTTCTTTGGCATGGTATATGCAGCGGGCATGCAGTCGAACAGATACGCTATTTGTGTTGGCCATTGCACATTTGGTGTTTGACCTGCTGGCAAGAACATGCTGGCACCGATGCTTTGGGGTCCCCTATGTCATCCAATCTCATGGCTCAAAACCACCTAAAGGACAAAGAATTGGGTGGATAGTGCCCTTGCTCAAAAAGCTTAGCAAGTTGCTGACCAAACAAAGAAATAAGGTTAAAGATCCCGCCACATACAATGAGGGCAGAATGAATCAGACTGCGCTTCTGCGGTAATTCCTGATCATCGGACCAAAAGTCGAGACCCTGAACTTTTGTTTGAGGCGAGTTGCAACAAAGGGACCGTGGACCGTGGAGAAACAAACGCAAAATGGTGACCATTGCTCTGGAGCAAGTCATCAGCCGAGAAACGGGTCGCAAAAAATGCACAGAGCTGGTCCGAGGCTCCCGGCGACGCAGGGCTTGTCAGCGGAGATGGTCAGCTCCTAGGCAAAGGGGCAGTCACCTGCTTTGAAGGGCCTGGCTTGACACCAGTAACTTGGTCTTTCAGCGAAGCTTGTTACTCAGTATTCAGGAATTGTCACGTTCCACATGTTCAAAAGGTTGAAGGTCTACTAACGAGCAACCAAGAACAGGCGATCAACAAAAATAGTTCATGACAACAGGTTTCATCGGATCCGCCAACAAACTTGAGTGTGAGACACGTCGAAGGCAGAAGCATAGGAACATCGGCATGGGCAACGGGGTCCCTTTCGCGAGCCCTTTCGTGGCCTGGGGAAAATCAACAAGTTCAAAACGATGCTTGATCACGAATGCAATCTTCAAATTTCTGTGGCTGTAGAACACTGCTCATGTGGCTGTGGGTCACAAACAGGTACCCAAAATGGAACCCTGGTAAATGGACACATGGACTAAAATCTGCGGTTATATGGTGATCTAATATTGACCCACTCCCATGTCTTATTTGGGGCTTCCCCAAGAAGCCGCGGGGAAGCCGCCAGTCCTTCCGATCGGATCGGTCCTGCTTCGAGATCTGCTCCCAGCTGTCTCCACCAACCTCCGACTTGCCGGCCAGGAGCTTCACCTGCCCGGCTTGCCGCCCTATGGGCTGGTTAACCCCCCCCTTTCCAGGGAACAAACGCGGGAAAACACACAAACAAAAAACACGTTTTCAGGTACACACACGTCGGAAAGCCCGGTTGGACGACTTGCTTGGGAACATCGAGGGGCGGAAGGGGCCCTAACAGTGCTTGGCAATTTCAACTGAAAGAAACAGGCCTCCATGAATAGAGGCGTTTGAGACATTTTATTTGATACATGAAGCCCCGCTTTAAAGTCGACCCCTCCCCCCTTCTGGGCTCTCATTTGTGCGCGAATCTGCCCAAAGAGAGGCTTGCCGTTTCTGACCTGAGTTGATGATCCGAAGTGAACAAATCTTTTTGGGCCTTGACTCACATAAAGAAAGCGTTTGTTCCAGCAAGTGAGCACGTTTTGCTAATTCAACCGGTGGGACCGCCTTGGGAAAGGAACCGCTGGTGCAGAAACAGGAAAAATCACATCCGGGCACTTCTTATGGACTGCAGATCCTCAGGCAAGGCCTTGGCCAAAAAGGAACCGCCTGCATGATGCCGCCGCCCCTGAAAAGGGGCCAACCCGTGAAGAACGGCAAACCTTGCGCAAACGAGCGTTTCCAACAAGAGGAAAGCCCTACTTCGATGGTCTCAAAGAGAAGCCAAAGCAGGATCTCCTGGAACATTCACCAAATAGTAGTGAGAAACCATGGAAAAGAGCACCTGTTCTTTGGGAGGCACAAACACTCCAGACAATAAGCCTCTCTCAATGGGCAGATCTGCAAGGGAAACCCCAAAGGAAACCCAGAGTAAGCGACGCGCCCGTCCTTGTCTAATTTCGAGGGCAACTGGAAGCAACGCCTCGGCCCCCATGTTCACCAAAGGAAACTATGGTTGGAATGGGAATCGAAAAAACAAACATGGCCGGAAAAGCAAGTCAACATACAGATGGCATGATTGGCATGTTTGTTTCACAAAGCGCCTGGTGATGCTGAAGCAATCTCGGCTTGGACCTCCACCGTGGCGCGCCGCTGCAATTTCCCGCCTCGAGCTTGTGCTTGGCCTGCGCCCGTGAAGGCGCGGCCTGCGGGGGCAAAGCCTTTTGACCGCTTCCCTTGAGGAAATCAGCAAATCCTCGTCCTTTTTATCCGTTTCAAGGGTGCAAAACCTTTTGACCCTCCCTTTCTAGCTTTTGTGACCGCTTCCCTTCTCAGAAAGTTAGGAGTTGAGAATGCGCGAATATGGCAACAAACAGATTAAGGTCTTTCCTCCAAAAGGATAGGGCAAACCACTCATAGAAGAGGCAGTCCCTGGATTTTCAATCAAGGGAGTCCGTCTAAGGGCCTGGAACACACAACATGGGGCATTCTGATCGACCCGGAAGTAAAGGCGGTACCATAATTATTCCCCTTTCTTGTGTCTTCTGAAGCAGAGCAAAAGAAACTAGCTCCAGATAAATCTCTAAGAAATCAGCCGAATTGTCACTAGTAACAAGGTCTTTCGCTATTGTCTGGAATATGTTCCTGGAGCTTGTTCCTCAAATTGAATGCATGTGCCTGGAGTCTCCGAGACTCTAACACAACGGGCGGGATCATCTACTCATCTGGGTGTGAAAGAAAGGGAATCGACCATGTCGGGAAACATGCACAACTATCCACGGCGAGGTTGCTTTTAGAGATAGGACAGCACCCAGCAATCCGTCAAACGTCAAGACCACATTGCTTCAGGATCGAGAATATTCGAGAATGCAGGTAAACAAGTACTCCGCATAATTCCTTGCTTCGTGACCACGATCATGAATCATGCAGGCAGGGGCATCTAAACAAAGAGCAAGGCCCTAAAACGAAGGTCGAACAAATCCAGTTACAGGTGTTCAGAGTGGAAGTTGTGGTATGTGTAGTGTAACCCCTTTTACAGCAGCAGGTGTCTGCATGACATGTGAACAATGCACATGTGCGCAAACTAAAAGCTGAAAAACATATTCCTGAAACAACGACCCTCCTGAAAAAAGCGCTCGTATGCGCTCGTCTTTGGCGAGGTTCCATGCTCCCAAATATGTCCACACATCTATGTCCCCCAGCCGGAAACAAGTGGGCCAAACGGTGACGCTTAGACCACCCAACAAGTGGATAATACAATCTCTGGGCATGTCTCTTTTCAGAAAAGCTCACGGATTGCATCCCTGTGGCTCCAAAGGCTGGTAGATCGAAGACCGGTCGTGTGAAGGCCGGAAGCCGGCATTGAATTTCTGATTTTTAGACATGGCTATAAACTTGTTGATCGCTGGACATAGATCAAAGCATGTTGGCGGACATAGATCCCCATGAAAGTGACGTCCACCAAACAAAACCATGGTTCCGGGTAGCAAGTGAACCACACAAGCTATTGAGGTCTTGATTGCAACCAGGTAGTTTTTTGGAGGACGTGCTTTATGTAGATTCTTCGTAACGTGCATGTGTCGGATTCGTTCCGTAAGACGAAGTGATCATACTGGGTCTCAGCACTCGAGACCAACAAGCTCAAGCACGGTATCTCTGGCGAATGGTTTGGAGCCCTTGGTCCCCACTGATGGTTTCTGAGATGTGATAGGAGCCAACATTTAACGTAGTTTGCCAGTTTAAAAAAAAAAAAAAACTGGAGAAGACACGGCCTTGATTCATCACTGTTTCCAAGATACTCCAAATCATTGGTGTTTCCCAAGGGAATGCCCATCTTTCTGGCAACGTCCTTCAGTGTACCTTTTGGTATGTCCCAAGGGGGGCCATTCCTTTTCAAGCTCAAATGGGTGCGTCCAAGAATTGGGAAGTAGTTCTGGTCCGAATTTCACAAACCGCAATACACAAAAATGGGAGCGGTCCTTAACGCTTGCTTTTATAACACCCCCATGGCAGAAAAGGCAGCCCTTTTGGGGTGGACCAGTTTGAGTGGCGCACCCACCAAACAATAGCGGGTGCCACGTTTTCCAGAAACATGATTCGGACGCCCAAATATTGCCCAGTTTTGCTTTGTTGGTCTATCAAAAGCACCTCCAATCTAAACATAAACGGCCCTCCAGGAGCTGAACAACCGGTAAGGGGCTTTTGTTGGAACCCCGCCAACAGGCACGAAGGGACTAGAAGGCGGAATCCGCTTTTCCAACTGAACTGGACAGCTGTTGGGACTACCCAAACCCTCCTTGAATTTGACCGACTGAACTGGACACCAGTTTTGGACCCAAAACAGGACTCCGACTCGTCTTCTCGACTCGCGCCTGGAAGACAAAGGTCAGCGCCAGCGTGGACTCCTCTTGGAGCTTTGCCAGCGCCGCCATGGGTGCCAGCCTCGGCGGTCGGAGCGACCGGTTAGTTTGGAAGGAAAAGAACTGGATACCTGGACCATTTCTGGGATCCCCGAAAAAATCGAAAACAGACAAAACAAAAGGCACACTGCACCCGGACACTCAAACTACCCTCCAAACGGGTCGCCCTACAAGTACGGGGTGACTTTCCTATTGCAAGGGGAGTTTGTGGCTTTGTCTGAACTGGGGGATCTTGTCAGTGACTCTGAACGAGTGGAGCAAACCACAAGTCCAAGACCAAACTTCTTGGCCACTGACCTGGTCAAGTGGCTCAAGTCTAGGGACCCCCGCTCCAGGAAGGTGCCGTCCCCATCGCCGCCAGCATCCAACTGCAGCGCCTCTGGCGAGATACCCCCTTCCCCCCCCATCCCGAGTTTTCTCAAAACTCGCAGGTTCGTTAGCCTCTTTCAGAGCCTACTACAAGTAGGTAGGCTGTCAGGGATTGTTCAGCATTTTTAAGGGCGTGCTGGGCTTTTTTCTTATGAAGGGCTTTGGAGTGGGTTGGGCCGTTTTCAGGGCATGTTTGGGCCGGGCCTCTTAAGATCCTATTTGACAGGAAGTGGACGGAAAGGGGCTCCTTTCCCTCAACCACCCTTGCTGGTGTCATTCTGGAAAAACAACTGGTGTTCATGCGTAAATAATGACAACCAAACTGAACATAGAATGTTTTCAGCCAAAAAAATCAATGTCAACTGACCTTAGCATGAAAAACAACACCTTGGTTTGGGGGAAGGGTATGATGTGTCCGTCTCTTGCTCCACTATTTGTCTAGAGTGCGTGCCGAATGGCTCGTGGAGTCAGACACTCACGGTTCGAATCCTTTGCCAAAATTCAGGGACTCCGCAGACCCCCGAAGGCCGGACTAAGGCAACCAAAGCCACGTATGGCACCCAATATGGCTCCTTGGGGTTTGGCCATGTTCCAAAGACGCGGAGCCACCTCTCGTCGTCGGATCTTTTTCTTGGACCCTGGACCGACCCCCAAAAAAAAACGACCAGCCTCAGCCTTATTTGGCCTTCTCTGGCCGTGTTGCGCCTTCATGAGTTGGCTTTCCTGCTACCCCTCAATTTGTACAATTGTAACACCAGTGATCCCCCTTTAACACAACTTGTAACACATAAATCGGATCCTCGCAACAACAGTGATCCCCCTTGAACACAACGGACTTCCCATATGGTGGTTCAATTGCAACAAAAAGGGGGGTCGCAGGTATCAACCTGGAGCAGTCGCGAGCTTGGGAAGTGTCTCGACCTATCGGGGCCCCCGGCATCGCCCAACTGCACCCCGGCGAGCCAGGCGGGCCCACCCTCCCGCACCTGTCGAAAGCTTCCGGCTTCCCGAGGTGCCAAGTAGGAGGTCCGGAGAAAAAGAAAAAGAAAAGCAAAACGCGGTGCTTCCAGCTACTGGGAATACCATCCAGTGAAGCCTAGAGGTAAGAAACCATGGTTGGTTATAACTTGAGATGGTGGTAACATGTGGTAACGGAAGGCACTGGGTTGGAGAATTGATTCTGCATCTCCCTCTTGTTTTCCCACTACCATACCCAACGTCCCACATGCACATACTAAACAAAACCAGCGGCTATACATGTGAGGGTACATACCCCAACACAACATCCTCAATTGGTACCGGTGGAGTATGTTCATTTCAGGACCTAAGAAGTTGAGGTCGGTAACCACCCACCCCTTCTTTTGCAAGACGCTTCAAAAAAAAATAAAAAAGATGGTTTTCCAGCCGCATGAGACTAGATAATTAGATGGCCCACGAACAGACCTCAGTCATCCCAGGGACTTTTGGAGGCATCTTATGGCCTTAGCTTGAGCATGTGGAAACAATCCTGTCCATTTTTTGCCGCTTGGTAGAAACAGGGACCCCCTTTTTGAGGTTGATCATGTTTAGTGGTAGACCAAAGCAAAAAGGCAAACTCAACATCCCCATGGCGTCACTGTCACTTGGGGAGTTGCCTTGCTACGGGAAAAACGGCCTCCATAATCCAAACATGAACCACGCAGTTTACCTCAAGGATACGTTTCCCGCAGAAGACTTTGGGCCACTTTCTTTGACCGCAGCATGGATGTCTGTTGTCAAGAGTGGCTTCCCCCTGGTCACCTTCAATGGTGGTAGCCTCAGCTACATCAGGGTTCCCCGTAGTGGCAACAAAAACTCAGTTCAAACTGGAAACCAAATGGTGATGTATGGAACCTCAGCAATATCTTTGGGGGGTAAAGAACGCTTTCGAATTTAAGAACGCTTTCGGATCCTTGCTGAAAAAAACATGTTCCCCAAACATTGCCGCAACTGGTCCAGAAGTACCGCCAACAGTCTCAGGGTTGCTCCCAAGATCGGATCGTTTTTTTTGGTCCCAGGGACAGCAAAGGGCACCTGTGTCCATGCTATACCTTTTCGCTTTCATCTTCTGGTAGAGGCTCGGAACAGTCCTAGACCTTTTTTTTAAATTCCCCTGCGTCTTGATGTCCCGACGGTATTGAACATGCCTTGCGCGGCTGGTTCTCAAAAGGGTCATGGCGCGTTCATACTTAAGGCCAAAAACGCTAGGTTTCACAAGGTTATTTCATAGTCCGATTGTATGGCATTTTGCTTTTCATTCCAATCTTGCCGCAAACTTCAGGCTTTGTCGGGCAAGTGCCTGCTACCTCCTGCCTCCCACACCCCCGGCGGGAAACAACAAGGCATGTCCTCAAATTGGAGCCTGTGCAGAATCCTAGTCAAGTGGCTTTGGTAAAAAAGGCAAACCTTTGGCTTCGGAACCCAACAGACAGGGATTTGGAGGGTGTTTCCGAAGAATTGGGAAGCTGTGGAATTTCCTGCCTTTGGCTAACAGCCACAGAAATGGTACCGATGCAGGACAAAAGAGCCCACAGAAATCTTGGCAGCCAGGCGTAGGTCACCAGAATGGGCTCTCCTAGGCCTGCCGGAAAGCGAAGTGGATTTGACGGAGGGACAGTTTCAACGTCATCAACAAGGCTTGCTGGTTTAGACTGGTGGGTTTTGGTGGTCCGTTCCCACGCAAATTGTGTGCCATGTTCTGCAGGAATCACTGTTTAGGGCTGCTCCCAAGATCCTGTCACAAGGGTAGGAAAAAGGTCAACCTAAAACCAAAGGACACCAAACCACTGTCTACCCTTTGTTTGGTCATTATGTTCAGGTTCGGAGCGACTCCGCTGCTCTTCGTTTAATAGTCGAAATGAGTCATGAGCCAATTTCCCCGTTGTGATCCTTCGAACAAAAGGGTCATGAACGAGACCCTTGGCACTGTCAGATCTCCAGTCGGACGTCGCCTCCGCTCAGGTTCAGGTCCGAGCGCAGCGCGTAGCGGGTCTCGTAGCGCACCTGTCAAACTCTTGATGCTTCGAGGCAGGGAATTCTCAATCCGAACTGAAACCATCCAGGTGGTTTCCTTGCATATCCCTCGGCTCAAATCCGTCTTGTGTAAACAAGCCCGCCCCTCGGGACTTCCGAGCGTCCCCGAGCCGCCCAAAATCATCGTGTCATTTAAGGATTCCAGGAGGCCCCAAAGGACATGCCCAGAGTACTGTGGGTAGCCAGTTTTCATCGCAGTCAAGCAACCACAAATAACCACAAGCTAAGACAGGGCTCTTGGGGAGATTTCTCCAACATCACCCAAACAGCTAGCACCTACAAATTGGACTGTCTTCTCAATCTACTGACCATAAATGCGGACCCGCGTGACGCTCGGAAAAAAGAAGAAGCTAGCTCACCTAAAATTTAAAATTGGCCCAAAGGTGATGTTTGACCAGGCTGAAAAGGGACATCTAGGGGACCCCAAGACACTGAGAGACTGAGAGCCAGTGGTTAGGAAACAAAGAGCTTTGCCTGCTTCCTTTCCCAAGGCACACTATCCAATTCGAGGAACCCACACCATCGCTGAAACTCGAGGAGTTTCTCCTGCCTCTATTCTCTTAGTTTTTGGGTGGGGTCATGTCTTGGTACAACCAGAGTGTAGATTCAAATGAACAGGACAACATGCACCGCTGAAACGAATTACGAACTTCTAAGCTACAACCCACCCACCCCCCCGCGGGCAAAAAGAAACCCGAGCCTCCTTTCTCTGAGGGAGACGCCACTGCAAGCCTCCAATCGCCGTCCGAGAATCCTAGAAGTCTACTATCAGTGGGAAAGGATTTGTTGGGATTCTGTTTCGAGCCTGTCCGCGCCGACTAACAGTGGACCACGGAAATGAGACCGCACCACCAAATTGCGAACCGTTACTGGGCGGGGAAGCGTGTCCGAGATAAAGTACCTTCCCGGCATTCGAGGCTTTCAGCAGACAACGACAAAACAGACAGCATCGCCACGACCTTCGTAGCTGACCAGGAGCTTCGTGAGACAAGAAAATCCCCGCAAAGATGGTTAGTACCCTTTTGGCTACCTTTAAAACCGAAAAGGGGTTCTCGCCAAAAAAAGACGCACCATATCCGCTTTCTTTTAGCGGAACTGTGGGTCCATGCATGACTATGCGGCCTCTGCCGGCGGCTTTGACTCAGCTCTGGGGCCCAGGCGTACGCCCGTGCAGCTGTGAAGGCGGCCCAAGTCCACTTGCCTCAAATCGGATGGGTTTGCCTCTTGGAACTTCTGACTACCCCTTTGTGCTACACCTTTGGTGTTCAAGTGATTCTTACTTCCCCCTTTGGTACCCGTTTGGAGGTTGGACATGTGTTGTTGTACCTTTCAACTTCCCCTTTTGCACCCTTCTCCGGGAAATCGACAGAGGTTACCTAGAAATGTCTGGATACATACAATATATATATATATGGCCTTCCAAGCCACTCTCATTTTGCGAACACGGTATGACACGGATTAAAAACTTCTTCAAGGTAGCCAGTCCTGTTGCCGAAGCCTCCTTTGGCTTGGCATTGGGGACACCTTTCCAGTTTGAAGCACGTTTTCTCTAGGGTGTTTCTCACAATAATTGGCCCCCTAGAACCCAGAATGGTTGGCTTCTTTTGGTTTCCCTAAAATACGTTCCAAAAGGGGTCTGAATCCCATTGTGCGAAACTTTCATGAAGTCTAAGAAGGACCACCCCTGGGTTCACTTTGACCATTTGACACAAATGGTTTGGGCTTTGCAGCCAATTTGCATACTCCCTGTCGACAAACCACTACGAAGGGGGGCGTATCCTTGCATAGCCCAAGGAAAGGATTCAGGATTGCCTTTGTTTGAACAGCCCTGCCAGCCAAAGATATTAACCCTTACTCTTCTCTTTACCATTCATTTCCTATCACTTGTTGACCATTACCTTCAGGCACTTTATCTTTCTTTACCTTTTGCAGTTTTGGGCGAACACGAAGTAGCCCAGGGAAGCAAATGAGCACAAGGTAGATCACAATGTACCCAAAGCACCCGGAAACACAACTCGGGTGAAGCTGTGGATGATGACCGGGTTGAGGATGTGACGGTGGAAAAAGACGGTGTTTGGGGAGGTTGGGAAATAGGTTGCAAAAGTAGAGAAGTCAATCAAGCCCAGGATGACCTCGACGACCGACCACCTACCTCCTAACACCGGCGCCCCGCAGCCCCACGGTTTTCACCTCGGGGACGAAGAGTGCCGCCGTGTTATGGCGGGTGCACGTGGGTCCGAGATTGCCCTGACGGGAGGTTGAAATCTTGAGCCAAACGGCCATTCGGCCGCTTTGCCACATGATGAAACGACACGTGAACAAAACACACCCCCCTCATCCGATATCAGGACGAGAGAAAGGATGCGAGACAGTTGAGTTCACGACGAAAGGGACCAACCAAAAATGCCGGTGTCAACTCAGAGGTGAGCCAAACGGCATCACCTGGGCCCCAGTTAAAATCCCGCCACCACCCCGAATTATCGGGGCGACAGGATTATTTGACGAGTGGACCACATGAGTGAACAAAGACATATTGGAGGAACCAGACGAAGATTCCTCTCGTGCCGTTCATGAGTCGTCATGGGACGATGCCATGCGGAGGGGGATCCTATCTGGATCACCGCGCCTCACTGCACGCCGTGGAGCGGTTGGAAGAGTAGTCGAGTTGGGAGGAAATTAGAAACAGAAGTTCCGAAATTGGTGTGAAAATAACTGGCAATGGCCGGCCCGGCACTTCTAGTGCGGTCACAGCCTCACACAGGATCGCCAGGGGAACCGTCTCCGGCGCGCACGGCAGCGGTGCGGGAGGGACACGAGCAACGCCGGATCAGCGGTACAGGGCAATGGAGATCATCACCCCCAGCAGCGCTGCACGGGCGAGAGGAGGACCGGCGCGGTCGCGTTTGTCGGCGACACACGTACTATCCTCGCCCTTCTAAGGCGGATGCTGATTGCGGCACCCGTCTACCGGCGGATGCTGATTGCGGCACCCGTCTACCACCCTGAACCAGGCTCTTCCCGGTCCCTGGGCGCGTCGTCTCTTCGGCGTCCACCACGGTCACCTCGATCACCTCCTCCATCCCGACGGCGATCCTCACCACCACCCCTATTGTGGTCGCCAGCCGGAGGTCGGCGAGGCGGAGGGGGATCTGATTGGTGACGTCGGTCATCCCTGCGCCGGTCCCGGTGGCGATCGCGACGGTCATCGCCCGGGTCATCACGCCCGCGGCGCTCATCTCGCCCCGGGCCGCGCCTCTCGGAGGTCTCCTCATGACGTGGAGGAGGTCGGCGATCATCGCGTCGGCCTCCGCGGGTGTCCCTGCCACGATCATCCCTTTGTCGGGGCGGGCCGGGATCCTCACGTCCTCCTTTGCCAGGTCGATGTTTTCCTCGACCCTTCCCCTCACCCTTAGGACCACGACGATCCTCGCGGGCCCCAAGCGCGGTCCTTGACCGATCGTCATCTCGTCGGGGCCGCGACTCATCTGCCGCACGAGTGGTCCGAGGCACTCCCGGGGGAAGCTCCCACTCGTCGTTGTCGTCATCACGCGGGTCATAGCCGCGATGGCCGCCCAAGGAACCGGTGGCATCCCGTGGTGGGGACGCAGGAGTTCCGGGACCGCCCGATCGAAGACGAACTCGGGGAGTCGCGTCCTCGCCGGTAAAAGGATCCTTCTGGGTGTAGAAACCCTTAGTCCTGCCCCTTCTCTCCCCACCTTCCACACCGCTTCTCGCGGGGACCGGGGATGGGCGGGCAGGCTGGGCCATGCTCTTAGAGCTGGGTTGCCCGCTAGGCGGGACCTGAACGCCCCCCTGCCCTTTTTCGGGCGCGGGGACCCGACCGCGAGATGTCCTTCTGGCCTTGGGTTGGTCGGACTCACCCTCCAGCTCGGACTCGGTGTCAGGGACACGAGTATTGATGGCCAGGTCCTCTTCCTCAAACGGATCCCCAGTCGTAGTAACGCCTGCCGCAATGGGAGCGGGAGGAGGAGGAGGAGGAGTTGGCACAGCATCGCCAGAAATGACGCCTGCATGCGGCACCACGGGAGTCTCCGGTTCTACCGGGACAGGCGGCGCAGGAGGAGCCGGGGGCGGCGGCGGAGGGGGAGGGATCTCCTCCTCGTCGTCGCCCATGGGCTCGTCAAGGTCGTCAGGCTTCTCGTCATCTTCGTGCGAAGAACCATCCGATCCCAGCTCATCCTCCGCTGATCCAGCAAAGTCGGGCTCGTCTTCGTCCTTCACGCCGGGGCCTGGTGTAAGGCGAATTCCGGGTCGATGGCGATCGCGGGGTCGGAAGCGGTATTTTCTTGGTACAGGGTCGGATAGCTCCTGTTTGATGTCATCCTGGGTTTGAGGACGGTCGGCCAAGCAGGTGTCGTAGGCAACGGTGGACGTCCGGTAGATCAGATCGTCCATACTGCTGAGGTCGTTGAGGGTGTAGACATACCCCTTCTTAATGCCTTCCCGTATCGTGTCCATAGCCCGTTTGAGGCGCGCGGCAGGATCGAAACCGGCCCTTCTCCGCATGGCCTGCAATATCCCGCAGTGCTGTGCGAGCAGCTTCACCTGGAACTTGAATCCCTCCCCGGACACATCGTTGGGGAGTATCGGAGAAAGGTGTCCTGTTCTCAGCCCAATGATATGGGCCTCAAGAATGTAGTAGGACGTGTAAAAGCCGCACCGGTTGGCGTTGAAGTTTGCGGTGGTTAGGCGTCTGCCCCACACAGCCGCATATCCCTCATATTCTTCGAAGAATTCGGGGACGGAGCTCCCGTTGAAGGCCAGACCCCTTACCAGGATCGCCTTTGCTACCCACTCTTCCACGTTGTTGTCGACCGTGTCACGGTATTTGCCGTCAAGGACTTCGTCTCGGAGCGAGTCGTGAAGTTTCCGGAAAATGCCATCCACGTCCTCTTTGTCAAGGTACTTAGGAGGCCGCATCCCAGACATCAACAAGGACCGGGCATCGACGGCGGGACTCTGCGAGTAGAGGGCCATTCCGATGGCGTTGGCGTCTGAGTTGTTCCACAGAGCGGGGACGAAGCCCTCGTATTTTGCCAGCCAGGGAGGAACCAACCCGTCAGTGCTCGCTATCGTGCGAGGGCCGCCGTTCGTGTCTCCGGTGGGCAGGACGCCATCGTAGAAGATGGGAAGGTAGCAGGCGGTGCACAGGTGAGCGCCGACCGGATGGGCCGTCATGCACCTATGGCATGGAACGGACACCACCTCGCGGGCATGTTCCGTCTTGGTGATCTGATGGTACTTCTCCATCTCGTCCCGACACTTCCTCGGGTTATCACTCATGGAGTTGAGGAAGTTGGGCGGATAGCACCAATGCCTCAGGTAAATGATGGAGCAGTCCTCCTTGAAGTAGACGCATCTCCAGTACCCGATCGCGATGTTCTCGCGCGACGCAAAGGTACCCTGACGAGTCATATGCATGCCCCCATTTTCCATGGAGAAGAAACGTGCATCGATAGCCATGACCACATATCGGGGATCGCTCCTTTGGCGTCGACCCGAGGTGTGCAGCTCCGTCACGTTGCTGTCGGTGATGCGGTCGACAGTGTCGTGGGGGCACTCTCCGTGATCGCGGAGGGATTGATACTCATCCGGCCGAGAGGGAAGGAGCTCGATCAGAGCTCGCCCACCCCGAATGATCGCCCCACGTTCTACGTAGAGCCGATACATTCGGAGAGGCACCACCTTGTAGAGCGTCTTAGGAACCACCTTGGAGGTGATAGGAAGACAAACAGGGCTCTCGTAGAGCATGTATTGGTATCGTTCACGAAATGCCCGGTAATCAGTGTCGGATCCGATTTCAAGCGACCTTACCGCCGCTATGCGGGCGGAACCAGGCAGCAACCGACGCTCCTTGTCACGAATGACGGTGATGATGATCTCGAACATTCCCACCCCATCCTCGAGAAAGGAAGACAGGAGGTACGAAGAAAAGGCATCCTCGGACTCGACGCTGGTCCCGAAGTAGTGGCTCAGGAACCTCTTCAGTTGTATCACCGAAGTAACGTTCCCTTGCCCGCTGGCAGACGAGGCCTCCAACTCTGGGTCCTTGACTGCACCTGCATTTCCAGGCTGCACAGCTGTTCCACGGAGCGCGTCGCGTATTTCCGCGCATGCTCTCCTGTAGTAGTGCGAAGAGGCGCCCGTTCTATCCTTCACCTTCTGACGGATCTCGTCGGC